GGCTTGGGATGAGGTTTGGGGCTGCATTGGGGGGGGGGGATTGGAGTTGTGCAAGGGGGCTGGCCTGGGAAGGTTTTGTGAGTGTCTGAGGCTTTGGGGCTGGTGAGGTTTAGGAAGATAAACACCATTTAAGCAACCCATAATTGCATAGAGTTGTTTAGGTTGGAAAAGACCTGTAAGATCATCCAACCATTAAGCCAGCATTGCCAAATGTACCACTAAACCATGTTTCTCAGTGCCACATCTCTACATCTTTTAAACACCTCCAGGGATGTCACTCCATCACTTGGGGCTGTTGGGTGGATTTGGCATGGGATAGGAGTCAGGGTTGGGGGGTGTTAGGATTGGGGGTGTTGGGGCTGTGCATGGGTTCAGGGCCAGGTGTGGGGGTCATCACCTGGGTTGGGGGTACAGGCCGAGCCCCATGTAGCTGCCCATCGCCCGCAGGCTGCAGCTGTGACCCAAAGGGAACCCTGGCCTCCCACTGCACCACTGGCTCCTGCGCCTGCGACCGCAGCACCGGTGCCTGTGCCTGCCGGCCCAACGTGGTGGGCAAGAGCTGTGACCGCTGCGCACCCCACTTCTGGAGCCTGGGGGCGCCAGGGGGATGTGAGCCCTGCGGATGCCACCCCACGCACTCCCTGCACCCTGCCTGTAATGTGGTGAGACCTCTGGCACCCTGCACGGCCCCACTGCCCTCCTGGTGCCCGGCAAGCTGCCCGGCTGAGCACACCTCTCACTGCAGGTAACGGGGCAGTGCCAGTGCCAGCCCGGCTTTGGGGGCCGTGTCTGCTCCCAGTGCCAGGAGCATCACTGGGGAGACCCCGAGCAAGAATGCCGAGGTGACTGGGGCACGTGGGGTGTGGGAACATGCTGGGTGCTTGGTGGGACCCTAGGGGTGGCACTGGGGACATGGTGGGACCCTGGGGACATGGGCAACTTGGAGACACAATGGAATGCTGGGGGCAGGGTAGACCCTGGGGATATGGTGGGATTCTGGGGACATGGGGACCCTGGAGCTGTAGGGGAATGCTGGGGACATGGTGGGACCCTGGGGACATGGAGGACTCAGGGGATCCTGAGTACGTAGTGGGGCTCTTGGGACACAGGAGACCCTGGGGACATGGTGGGACTCTGAAGACACAGGGCATTATATTGGGATGCTGGTATCACTGGGGGGACACAGCAGCCTCTGGAGTGACCAGGACACACCACTGCCTCTGTCCACAGCCTGTGACTGCGAGCCGCTGGGCGCCGAGAGCCCGCAGTGCGAGCAGGCCAGCGGGCAGTGCCGGTGCCGGCCAGGCTTCAGTGGGCAGCGCTGTGACCGGTGCCAGCGCGGCTTCCAGGAGGCATTCCCACGCTGCTCGCCCTGCCACCCCTGCTTCGGGCAGTGGGACCCGGCCCTGGGCCTCCTGCGGGACAGGCTGCAGCGCCTCGGGGAGCAGGCACAGGCGCTGCGGGATGGGGGGTCCCTGTCCCCGCTCAGCCCCCGCCACCTGCGGGAGCTGCAGGAGGCACTGGGGCGCGTGGAGCAGCTGCTGGGTGAGGGGGACAGCGCTGGGGGACCCCTTCTGGACACACTGCCGGGGCGGCTGGATGGCACCAGGCAAGTGTGTGCAATAGGCTATGGTAAAGGGACCCCAATGTGGTCACCCAAAAGGCTTAACACCTCTCTGCCCCCTCAAAGGACGGAGCTGGATGACTTCTGGAAGCAGCTCCAAGAGCTGGAGCAACATCTGGATCAGCTGGCTCAGGCAGATGTGCAGCACCACGACCGGATAGCTGTGCTGAGCCGCGAGCTGGGGAGTCTCAACCAAACCGCTTCCCACCTCCAAACCCTCCTCAGCACCGTGTCGGCAGCTGGATTCAGTGGTAAGAGCATCCGGTGGGGACTGGGGGGGTTTGGTGGCACCCACCCAGCCGAACCCTGATCCCGGCACCTGCAGAGTCCTACCGCAGCATCCTGGCGTCGGCAGAGGGCTCGCGGCTGGCAGAGGCGGCGGCCAATGGCACTGCTGGTGAGGTGGCCGGGGCGCAGGCCACGCGGCGGGCGGCAGAGCGGGCACTGCGGCAGAGGGGAGATGCGTTCCGTCGGGGCACCGCTGCTGCACGCAAATCCCTGCGAGAGGCACAGAAACGGGTGATGGGGCTCAGCATTGCCAGGATCAATGAGAAGGTGAGAGTGGGACCAGTGAGGGCATAAATAGGTGAATGGGGGGAGATCCCCATGCTGGGTGGCACAGGGATCTCCCCACATTGTCATCTCCACCGTTGGTATCACCATAGATTTGTGGGGCACCTGGGGACCGGAGCTGCGAGCAAGCACCTTGTGGAGGAGCCTTGTGCCAGGATGATGTGGGGATGCGGCACTGCGGTGGCACAGCGTGCATGGGGGCACTGCCTGTCTCAACTCGAGCCCTGAGCAGTGCCCGTAATGCATCGCAGCAGCTGGAGGTGGCACTGGGGCAGCTGGGTGTTGTGGCACAGAAGGTAGGGCTGGTGGCTCCATGGCACTTTTTGGGAGTCCGTTTGTGTTCCCTTTGCATATTCTGCTTCTGTCCTTTCTATGACACTTTGCATGTTCCCTTGTGCATCCTGCTTGTTCATGTCTCGAGGCGTGTCATAGACATGGACAGTTCCAAACTGGTTTGTGTTGGAAGGGACCTTAAAGCTCCTCCAGCCCCAACCCCTGCCACAGGCAGGGACACCTTCCACTAGAGCAGCTTGCTCCAAGCCCCTGTGTCCAACCTGCCCTTGAACACTGCCAGGGATGGGGCAGCCACAGCTTCTCTGGGCACCCTGTGCCAGTGCCTCAGCACCCTTTTAGTGAAGAATTTTTCCCTTATCTGATCTGAATTTCCCCTCTGTCAGTTTAAAGCCATCCCCCCTTGTCCTGTCACTACAAGTCTTTGTAAAACATCCCTGTTATGCCCCTTTGGAGATACCTCTTATGCCACTTGTATGCCCCCTTGGCCCACTGCTGCACTCCCATGCCTCCTTGTGCCCCCTTTGTGCACCCCATTACACCCCCTTGCATGCCCCCATCTTGTCCTGTGCATATCCCCCCATACCCCTGCTCACCCTGCCCATGCCCACCCCATGCCCCACAGATGCAGGAGGTGCAGGAGCTGGCACGGGGTGCACGGAGCCAGGCAGAGGAGGCCCTGGGGCGCTCACAGGCTGCCCGCAGCCAGGCAGAGAAGGCGACAGCCCAGCTGAGGGACTTCATCCGCCGAATCAAGGCCTTCCTGGCAGGTAGCACCAGCACTGGGTAGGCTCATGGACACAGTGGGGCTCAGCGCGCCACCCTGAACCCACCCTATCCCTGTGTCCCCACAGAGGAGGGAGCCGACCCAGGCAGCATTGAGCTGGTGGCCCAGCAAGTGTTGAACATCTCCCTGCCCAGCAGCCCCAGGCGGATCCAGGAGCTGCTCCAAGAGATGCGGGAGAGCATCAGCCAGCTGGAAGGGGTGGATGCGGTGCTCAACAGCACAGCACAGGGGCTGGCTGTGGCACAGAGGCTGCTGGAACAAGGACAGGATGCCAGGCAAGTGGTAGGGGATATGTTGGGTGGCAGACTGTGGGGGTCCATCTCCAGTGCTGGCAAAAGCTGGAGCTGCTTTTGCCACTGCAGGGAGCGAGCGGAGGGTGTCAGGGATGAGCTGGTGGGGACACAGCAGGCGCTGGAGGTGGCACAGGCACAGGCGACAGCAGCAGGGAGTGCCCTGCAGAGCGCCAGGGATGCCATCCAGGTGGCTGAGAGCAGAGCCAAGGAGGTACTGGGGCTGTCAGCATGGAATGGCTGAGGACTGGGGATGGTGCTTTGGGCATGCTGGGAGCAGTGGGGTTGGTGCTGCTGTGGGAATGGGGTGAGTGCCATGGGGAGCGAGGCTGATGCCATGGGTACACCAAGGCTGGTGCCAGGGGGATGTGGATGGAGGTGTGCCAGGGTGGCAGGGCTGGCATCGCCATCACAGCCGGTGCCTGTGCGTGCCCAGGCGGAGCGCAGGCTGCAGGCACTGGAGGGGAAGGAGTCGCGGGCGCAGAGGCGGCTGCAGGAGCTGGGGCAGAGCATCACCACACTGCAGGAGCGGGACCAGGACACCCACCGCATGGCGCAGCGAGCCAAGGATGGAGCACAGCGTGCCACCGCCACTGCCGGGATGCTCAACCAGGTGAGGCCCAGCCCTGCCACGGAGTACAGGGTGACAATGGGCGCTCAGCCTCACCATGCCTGTGTGCCACCAGGACCTGGCACAGGTGACACAGCGCTACATGGTGCTGAAGACCCGGGTGGGCGCGCTGGATGGGGTGTCTGGCGGTGCCTTGCAGCGCGTGACACGGCTGACAGCTGAAGCACAGGACCTCCTGGACAAGGCCAGCACCAGCAAGAGGAAGCTGGAAGGTGAGGAAGAGTGTGTGGGAGGGGAATTGCCCACCATAGTGGTCTCAGCGCCCACCTCCCCATGCATGTCTCCCCTTATCCCCTGGGGCTGGTTCCCCAGGGGTGGAACATGGAGACATGAGGGGGGGCTGTGCCCTAACCGTGGTCCCCATCCCGCAGAGCTGGAGCAGCACTTCGGGGCCAACGAGCGGGCAATGGCAGCGAAGGCAACACGACTGCAGGCTCTGGAGCAGCGGGTCTGGGGGCTGCTGGAGGAGATCCGCGAGAGAGCCAACGCTTACGCCACCTGCTAGGGACCGGGGCCGGGGCACGGCCGGGGCGCATCCGCCCCGGTCCCCGCAGCCCCGCGGTCCCGTCCCCTCCGCGGGTGCGAATAAAGCCCTGAGCAGTGGCTGTGTCCGGTGTCTGAGTCCTGCCCGCCTCGAGCCTGCCTCCCGCCCGCTCCTGCGCTCCCCGCTCCGGCCGGGATCCGCCCCGCGCTTTCCGCGCAGCCCCGAGCGCTGCGCCCGCCGCCCAGCGCAAGGAAGGGGGAGGACGGGGACGGGAGGGACCGGGACGGGAAAGGGAACCGGCGAGGCGGGACGGGAACGGGACGGGACGCGGGCACCTGCTGAGCGCCCCCTTTGCGCGCACTTTGCGCCCCAGTTGCGTCCCCGCGATGCGGAACCCCGGTGCCCTCCTGCTGCTGCCGCTGCTGGCCGGTGAGTCTGCGTCCTTCCCTCTCGCTCCAGCGGGGCCCGGTGGAAGCCAGGGTCCGGTCCCGCCGTCCTGTTTCCGGGCAGCCACGGAAGGGGCCTCGGGAGGCTTGGGGGCAAGCCCCGCTCCCGGCCCCCCTTTAAGCGTCTTTAACCGGCTGCTGCCCCATAGGGCTTGGGGGGACCTCGGTCCCCGACCCCCCTCAGGTCTGCGCCCTTGGGAGCTGCTACCCGGCCACTGGGGACCTGCTGGTGGGGCGAGCTCCCCGCTTGAGCGCCACCTCCACCTGCGGGCTGCGGCGGCCACAGCCCTACTGCATCGTCAGCCACCTCCAGGTGAGAGGGATGGGGGCCCCATGGAGGCTGGGGGGGCACTGGGAGGGGATGGGGGGCATGGGACGGGGATGGGGACACACGCCACCAAGCTTCCCGCTCGCAGGAGGAGAAGAAGTGCTTCATCTGCGACTCGCGGCGGCCCTACGATGCCCGTGCCAACACCAACAGCCACCGCATCGAGAACGTGGTCACCACCTTCGCCCCCCGGCCCAAGAAAGCCTGGTGGCAGTCGGAGAACGGTGAGTGGCGGGCGGGATCGTCCCGGGGGGCTCTGCTTCCCGTCCTCCCACGCTGAGGAAGCGTGACTCAGCCGGCGCACACGGACGCGCCCCTGGACCGTGGCCGGGTCGGGGGGGGGACCCACGCGGGTGGGTGCTCCCCACAGCCACACGTGCCATCCCCCAGGCGTGGAGCATGTCAGCATCCAGCTGGACCTGGAGGCCGAGTTCCACTTCACACACCTCATCATGACCTTCAAGGTGGGTCCTGGCACGCGGGTACCAGGGATGGGATAGGATGGGATGGACCCAGATCCATGCTGGGTGTCCCGCAGACGTTCCGGCCCGCGGCCATGCTGGTGGAGCGCTCGGCTGACTTCGGGCGCAGCTGGAAGGTCTATCGATACTTTGCCTATGACTGTGACACCTCCTTCCCCCACGTCCCCCGTGGGCCCCCACGCCGCATCGACGACGTAGTCTGCGAGTCCCGCTACTCCGACATCGAGCCCTCCACCGAGGGGGAGGTGAGGCCCTGAAAGCAGCCCAGGAGGGTCCAGGGGACCCCCCTTACTCTGCCCTTACCACCCTGTTGTTTTCCCCCCTCCCCAGGTCATCTACCGGGTGCTGGACCCCTCCATCCCTATCCGGGACCCCTACAGCCCTGACATCCAGAGTGAGTCGCCCGCCTTGGGCTCCTGCCTGGCTGCTCTATTTTGGGTGCAGCTATTTTGGCTGCTGTCTCCCGGCTCTGAGCCCCACAGTGGGGTCAGGGCCAGATCCAGCTTGAGGGTCTCAGCCTCCTCCTGCACCCATCCTGTAGGAGCTGCTAAAGGTTGGGCTGCATCCCGGTGAGGGCAGGGAGATGCTGTGCTGGAGCTGAGCCTAGCGCTGAGCAGCGGCATGGTGCGGGATGGGGTTGGAGATGGGCAGAGGAGCCAGCTGAGTGCAGGACGCAGTGGGTTAATCACACAGCGCTAAATTTAGGCTGGGAGCAGAGGGGAGGAATCTGCAGGGCTCGGCTGCTGGGAAGCTGCAGTCCTGTGGGAGCCGTCCTGTCCTGTCCTGTCCCATCCCGTCGGGGCCCCTACACTGCACGCACCAGGAACAGCCCCCATCAGTGAGGAGCCCTTGCCCAGGGTGCTTGTTGCACACTGATGTGGTCCTATCCTGCATGGTGGGGTGTGCAGACCCCTGGTTCATGGCACAGCTTGACGTGCACAACCACGTGCAGGGGAGTTGAACCACCAGGCTGCGTACAACCACGTGCAACCTCTTGCCTGTGAGCCAAATCACACACAGCCCAGCCCAGTGCCAAGAAGCTGTGCTATAGGCAGCCATAGGCAGCACAGTGCGATGGTGGGAAGCCCTGTATGGACTCCCCATACCACAAACAGCATGGACAAGCTCAATGGCCCTGTGCTGATGGAGGTCTCTCCTCACTCCAGACCTGCTGCGCGTCACCAATCTGCGCGTGAACCTCACCAAGCTGCACACGCTGGGGGACAACCTGCTGGACACGCGGCGGGAGATCCGGGAGAAGTACTATTATGCGCTGTACGAGCTGGTGCTGCGCGGGAACTGCTTCTGCTACGGGCATGCCTCTGAGTGTGCCCCACTCAGCGGGGCCCCCGCCACCACCGATGGCATGGTAGGGTGATACAGCACCCCACGTGTCCTGCTGGGGCTGGGTAGGTGTGCTCCCTGGTCCCACAGCCCCTCACTGTGGCATCTGGCAGGTCCATGGGCGCTGCGTCTGCAAGCACCACACACAAGGACTGAACTGTGAGCGCTGTGAGGACTTCTACCATGACCTGCCCTGGCGCCCGGCCGAGGGCTCCAGCACCAATGCCTGCCGCCGTGAGTGCCACAGTGCTGGGGGGAGGGGATTTGGGGTGCTGGATGGGGAGAGCCACAGGCTGTGGTTTGGGGAGGTTGGGGTGCTGGGTTAAGGGGTGTCAGGGCTGGGGAGGTTGGGCACTGGGGGTGCTATGGGCCAGGTTTGGGTACCACATGCTGTGCCGCGGGGCTGTCCCTGCAGGATGTGACTGCAACGAGCACTCGCGGCGCTGCCACTTCGACATGGCCGTCTTCCTGGCCACCGGCAACACCAGCGGGGCCGTGTGTGATGGCTGCCAGCACAACACCATGGGCCGCCGCTGCCACCTCTGCAAGCCCTTCTACTACAAGGACCCCAGCAAAGACCTGCGGGACCCCGCAGTGTGCCGAGGTTGGTGCCGGGGCGGGGGGGGCATGGCATGGGACGGGGTGTGCTGGATGCTGGGAATGCTGACCTGCCTGTGTCCCCAGCCTGTGACTGTGACCCCGAGGGCTCTCTGGACGGTGGGATGTGTGACAGCGCTGACGACCCAGCCCGGGGGCTGATCACAGGGCAGTGCCGCTGCAAGGAGCACGTGGCCGGTCCCCGCTGCGACCGCTGCAAACCCGGCTTCTTCGGCCTCAGTGCCACCAACCCGCAGGGCTGCCAGCGTAGGTACCGGGGCAGCACCCAGCAGGGTTGGGTGTGCGGTGTGGCCTCACCAGACACTGCTGTCTTTCCATGCAGGGTGCCAGTGTGACCCCCGTGGCACATTGGCCGAGGGCAGCCAGTGTGACCCTGTGAGTGGTGAGTGCTTCTGCAAGAGGCTGGTGACTGGGCACCGCTGCAATCAGTGCCTGGTGAGTGGGGATGTGCGTGGCACATGGGGGCATGTATGGTGCTCGGGGGCTATGCACAATGCTTGGGACCGTGCACTATGGCTGGGGCCATGCATGGTGGCATGGTTTAGTGGTGGACTTGGCAGTGCTGTGGTAAAGGTTGGACCTGATGATCTTAAAGGTCTTTTCCAACCTGGATGATTCCATGATTCTATGATGCCTGGGGCCATGCACTCCCTGACCCCCTTTTCCTCTGCAGCCCGAGCACTGGGGGCTGAGCCACGATGCCCCAGGTTGCCGGCCCTGTGAATGTGATGTGGGGGGTGCCCGCAACAACCAGTGAGTCTTCATGGGGACACAGGGGCCATGGGGCATCGCTGCTGGCATCAGGGCTGATGGTGGTGCTGGGTATCAGGTGTGCCATGGAGACGGGACAGTGCCAGTGCCGCAGCCACATGGTGGGACGACAGTGCGACCAAGTGGAGCCTGGCTTCTACCGCATCAACTTGGACCATTATACCTATGAGTCTGAGGATGCTCGGCTCCATCAGGTAAGGGATGAAGGTGTCCTTGGGGGTACATGAGGGCAGCACGTGCCTCTTTGCGGGGTTCCTAAGCTGCAGGCACCACTCTGCCCTATGGGCCTGACAGACAAGGCGGTTTGGGGTCCCATCTCACAACCCTCCCTTGCACCAGGGCTCAGTGGTGGAGCGTGAGCCCTCCACGGACCGCCCACCTTCCTGGACTGGGACAGGCTTTGCCCGCATGGTGGAGGGTGGCTGGCTGGAGTTCCATGTGAGAGACGTGCCCTTCTCCATGGAGTATGACGTGATCATCCGCTATGAGCCGCAGGTGAGCACCTGACAGTGAAGCCAGTGATGGGGTGTATCGCCACACTGGGAGCTGGTGGTGGGGCATGCTGGATGGTGAGCCCTTTAGGCACAGCCCTTTCTCTGTCTGCAGCACCCAGAGCCCTGGCAGGAGGTGAGGGTGAAGGTGCTGCGCCCCAGCCCTGTCTCCGCCAGCAGTCCTTGTGGGAACACCATCCCGGCTGATGACCAGCTCTCCACCAGCCTCCCATCTGGTGCCAGGTGAGCACCGTGCCGGGAAGGGGCTGTGTTGGGGCTCATAGCAGGCACTCAGCTGACCATGCTCTGCCTTGCCTCTGTCCAGGTACGTGGTGCTGCCGCAGCCCATCTGCCTGGAACGGGGAGTCTCCTACACCATTCGAGTGGAGCTGGGCTGTGCCTCCGCTCGGCAGGATCCCAGCGCCAGCGTGCTCATCGATTCGGTGAGGGGCAGCCTGCAGGGACAGGCCAAGGGGAATGGCTTTAACCTGACAGAGGGGAGACTGAGATGAGCTCTTAGGCAGAAGTTCTTCCCTGTGAGGGTGCTGAGGCGCTGGCACAGGGTGCCCAGAGAAGCTGTGGCTGCCCCATCCCTGGCAGTGTTCAAGGCCAGGTTGGACACAGGGGCTTGGAGCAATCTGCTCTAGTGGAAGGGGTCCCTGCCCTTGTAGGGTCAGGATGTGGCTGTAGGGCACACAGGACAAGACAGGCATGACATCTCACTGACTTGCCCCCTGCAGCTGGTGCTGATGCCCCGTCACTCCTCACTGGAGATGTTCATTGCGGGAGACCCCATCTCCATGAAGCGCCGCGAGACCTTCGAGCGGTACCGCTGTGCCCAGCCCTTCTATGCTGCGGGTCCCTCGCCTGTGGCTGAGCCCTGCTCCAGGCTCCTGCACAGCCTGTCTGCCATCCTGCACGACGGGGCGCTGCGTGAGTCTGGCCCTGCACCCCGTTGTCCCCTGTGCAGTGGTGGCAGCGCTCACCACACTCTCTGCCCGCAGCCTGCCTCTGCGACCCCCAGGGCTCCACCAGCGCCGAGTGCCAGCCGCAGGGCGGGCAGTGCCAGTGCAAACCCAACGTCATGGGGCGGCGCTGCCACCGCTGTTCCCCAGGCACCTTTGGCTTTGGGACCAGTGGGTGCCGAGGTGAGTGCCGCAGGGATGTGCCGCAGGAGCCTGGGGGTGCTGGGGCTGGATGCTCTCCATAGCCCAGGGTCAGACTCCATGGGTGCCATGCCTTCCAGCATGCCAGTGCAGCAGTGAGGGGTCGGTGAACCCCATCTGTGACACCACCACGGGGCAGTGCTCCTGCCGGGAGGGTGCCCATGGCTCACGCTGCGACCGCTGCCAGCCTGGCCACTGGGGCTTCCCGTCCTGCCGACCCTGCCAGTGCAATGGGCACGCCGAGGAGTGTGACCCACGCACGGGCAGCTGCTTGCGCTGCCGCGACCACACCGATGGCGAGAGGTGCCAGAGGTAGGTGAGGTGTGCACCGGGAGGAGGATGTGGTGCTGCTGGTGGCCCCTGCTCACCCCCTGCCCACAGATGTGCAGCTGGGCACTTCGGGAACCCGGCGCTGGGCTCTGGGCAGCACTGCCGGCCATGCCCGTGCCCCGATGGACCCAGCAGCCCCCGGCACTTCGCTGCATCCTGCTACCAGGACAGCCGGTCCCGGCAGGTCGTCTGCCACTGCAGCCCCGGGTACACAGGTGGGTACCATGGGGGTCCCCATGCACTGCCCTGTGCTCTGTGCCAGTGGGTACAGGCAGGTACAGGTACACTGTGCCCATAGGTCCCCGCTGTGATGAGTGTGCTCCCGGCTACTATGGGGACCTGCAGCAACCCGGCGGGCGCTGCCTGCCCTGCCAGTGCCATGACAACATCGACATGACCGATCCAGAGGCATGCGACCGGCGCACGGGGCACTGCCTGCGCTGCCTGTACAACACAGCGGGGCCGCACTGCGCCGAGTGCCAGCCCGGCTTCTATGGGGATGCCACACGGCACAGCTGCCGACGTGAGTACCCATGGCCACACAGAGATGTTCCTGGGGACCACATGTGCCTGTGGGGTCCCAACAGCCCTGCCCTGCTGTGCCCTGCAGTGTACTTTGCCAGCCCTGGCACTGCATTCCTGTCCTCGTCCCTATGCCCTACTTGTGCCAGCCCATCTACATCCTCATCTCATGCCCATTTCTGTCCCTATTCTTACCCCATCCCCACTACCCCCCTGACTCTGTCCCTATCCCATCTTTATCCCATCTCTATCCTGAGCCTGCCCCATCTCCATCTCATCCCCATCAGTGGTCCTCACGCTGTTCACATCCCACCTCCACCTGGTACTCACTACATCCCTGCCCAATTTCTGTCTGCATTCTGCCTTCACCCTCAACCACTGCCATCCCCATCCCATCCCTTCCTGTGTACGCATTCCACCTCCATCCCAGTCTCATCCCCATCCTGTCTCTGTCCTCATCCTCTCACCATCCCCTCTCAATCCCCGCATCCCTGTCCCTGCTCAGTGCCTGTCTTGTTCCAGGTTGCTCCTGCAACCCACTGGGCACCGACCCCAGCACCTGCAGTGCCCAGCAGTGTCATTGCGATGTGCGCAGCGGGCAGTGCCACTGCCTGCCCAACGTGGAGGGACAGAGCTGCGACCGCTGCAGCCCCAACTTCTGGAACCTGGGCAGTGGGCAGGGCTGCCAGCCCTGTGCCTGCCACCCCCAGCACGCCCTGAGCCCTGCCTGCAACCAGGTGAGATACAGCAGGGACAGGGGGACAGGATGGGGCTGGGGGTGTGCTGCAGCAGTGCCAAACTTTGTTTCATCCAGTTCACAGGGCAGTGCTCGTGCCGGCCAGGCTTCGGGGGCCAGACCTGTTCTGACTGCCAGGAGCAGCACTGGGGTGACCCGCGGCAGCAGTGCCGAGGTGAGAGGCAGTGCTGGCAGGGGGACTATGGCAGGCCCTGTAGCACCCTGACACCGCTGTCCCCACAGCCTGCGACTGTGACCCCCGTGGCGTTGCCAGTGCCCAGTGCCACCGTGGCAGTGGCCACTGTGACTGCCGGCCCGGCATCTCCGGCGTGCGCTGCGACCAGTGCGCACGGGGCTTCTCCGGCATCTTCCCTGGCTGCCAGCCCTGCCACCCCTGCTTTGGGGACTGGGACCGCGTGGTGCAGGACCTGGCTGCGCACACCCGGGCACTGGCACAGCGCATCAGCCTCCTGCAGCACACCGGGGCTGCCAGCGCCTTCCAGGGCACCTTCCGGCGGCTGGAGGAGAACCTCGCCACCGTGCGGGACATGGTGGCTGCCCATAACACCACCATTGGTACTGCTGCCCACCTCACACACGCCACGGAGGGGCTGCGGTGAGCACTGGGCGCAGGGCATGGCTTGCGGGGGGGGGGGGGGCACTGGGAGCGGGTTGTCACCCCATGCCCTTACAGGCGGCACATCGAAGAGGCAACGGAGAGGCTGACGCGGGTGGAGGGGGAGCTGACGGCTGCCCAGGATGCCAACTTCAATGCCAGCCACGTGCTGAGTGTGGTGGACCGGGGTGCCCGCGCCCTCAACCACAGCCTGCAGGACCTGGAGCAGCGGCTGCAGGCCCTCAAGACCTCCAATTTCCTTGGTAAGATGTGCCACAGAGCTGGGGCAATGGGACCATGGCAGGGGGTCTGACAACGCCCCTGCTTCACCCAGGTGCCTACGACAGCATCCGTGAGGCCTATGGGGAGTCACGGGATGCAGAACGCCAAGCAGACACCTCCACCCGTGCTGTACCCAGCCCCATCAGCACCTCCGTGGCCACCCGGCACCGCACCGAGCATCTACTGGCCAGCCATAGGGATGACTTCAACCGCCAGAACGCAGCCAGCCGGCGGGCACTGATGGACCTGGCGGCGAGAGCACAGGCGCTGAGCCTGCACCCACTCAATGAGAAGGTGGGATGCGCGGTGGGGACCATGGGGATGGTGCCTGGAGCCACACTGAGCCCGCGCTGCCGTGCAGGTCTGCGGTGCTGTGGGTGACGTGCCCTGCGCTGAGAGCCCCTGCGGAGGAGCTGGGTGCCGGGATGAGGATGGGGGACGGCGCTGCGGGGGTCTGAGCTGCGGCGGAGCTGTGTCCACGGCAGACAGTGCACTGGACCGGGCACGCCATGCGCAGGAGGAGCTGCGGCAGGCGGCCAGCGACATGGCCCAGCTCTCCCACAAGGTAAGTGGCACATGGGAGCGGGTGGGAAAGCCATGCCCCACAGCCTTTATGGCTGAGACCGAGGTCTCTGCCCCTGCTCAGGTGGCTGAGGCCAAAGGGAAGGCAGATGAGGCTCGGTTGCGGGCACAGGCGGCTCTGGACAAAGCAAACCAGACCAGGGCCCGTGTGGAGAGCTCCAACAAGGAGCTGCGGGAGCTCATCAGCCACATCAAGGCCTTCCTGAGCCGTGAGTGCCAGCGTGCAGGAGGGATGGCACCCTGCCCGGCCCCTGCACCGCACCGCCCTGACCCTGCACTGCACTGACCCCACACTGCACTGCATGGTCCCTGCACTGCATGTGGGGCTATACAAACCCAGCACCACACAGCCCCTACCCCATACTGTGTTGCATGGACCCTGCCCTGCCCTGCCCATCCGGTGAGCCCCGTCCTGTGATGTTGTCCCATGACAACATCCTGTGTCACTCCAAACATCCTCTGTCCCATTACCCTCCAGCCCTGCCCTGTGGTTGTATGCCATAATAACCTTCATAGCTCTCTCCCTATGGCTCTCCCTCATATTTCCCTCCATGTTTCCCCCCCCATATCTCCCCTCATGTTTCCTCCCCCTGTTTCCTCCCCATGTTTACCCCCCATGCCTTCCCCTCATGGCTCTCCCCCACGGTCCCCGATGTCCCCTCCACCCCGGGGGTGCCACAGGAAACACCCTGACATCTCCCACCCTCAGAGGAGGGTGCCGACCCCGAGAGCATCGAGGTGGTGGCCAGCCGTGTGCTGGAGCTCTCGCTGCCAGCCGCGCCGGCGCAGATCCACCGCCTGGCCGAGGAGATCAAGGCGCGGGTGCGCAGCCTGGCCAGCGTGGACGCCATCCTGGAGCAGACGGCCGGCGACGTGCGCCAGGCCGGGCAGCTGCTGCAGGAGGCACAGCGAGCGCGGTGAGCCAGGGGACAGGGGGACGTGGGGATCCCCGGAGTGGGCTGGTGCTGAGGCCGTGCTGCCCTGGCCGCAGGTCGCGGGCTGAAGGCGTGCGGGACACGGCTGAGGTGGTGCGGCAGGCGCTGGAGGAGGCGCGGCGGGCACAGGGCATGGCGGAGGAGGCACTGCAGCTCGCCATGGGTGACATCCAGCACAGTGAGAGAGCGCTCGGCACGGTGAGAGCCTCATCCCCGTCGCCTCAGCATGGGCACACCATGGGGATGTGAGCAGCAGGGCGAAGGAGGTGATCCTGCCCCTCTGCTCTGCTCGTCTGAGACCCCACTTGTAGCACCATGTGCAGTGCTGGTGTCCTCAGCATAAGAGGGACATGGAGCTGGTGGAAAAGAGCAGAGGAGGCCATGAGGATGATCGGGGCTGGAGCACCTCCCGTCTGAAGACAGGCTGAGAAAGTTGGGGCTGTTCAGCCTGGAGAAGAGAAGGCTGCGTGGAGACCTCATAGCAGCCTTCCAGTATCTGAAGGGGGGCTATAGGGATGCTGGGGAGGGACTCTTCATGAGGGACTGGAGTGAATAGGACAAGGGGGGAAGTTAAACAGGGGAAGTTTAGATTGGATATAAGGAAAAAATGTTCTTTACTGTAGGGGTGGTGCGGCACTGGAATGGGTTGCCCAGGGAACCTGTGAATGCTCCATCCCTGGCGGTGTTCAAGGCCAGGTTGGACAGAGCTTTGGGTGACATGATTTAGTGTGAGGTGTCCTACCCATGGCAGGGGGGTTGGAACTGGATGACCGTAAGCTCCTTTCTAACCCAAACCCTTCCATGATTCCCTGTGGGCACCCTGACCATGCCCATGCCACCCCTCGCAGATGCAAGCCCAGACAGCAAGTGCCGAGCAGCGCCTGGCGGGTGCCATGGGTCAGATTGGGGTGCTGGATGGGCAGATGGATGCCCTGAAGGTGAAACGCGCCAACAACAGCCTGGCAGCCACGCGAGCACAGGAGGCGGCCGGCACCGCACGGGACCGTGCTGGCGAGGCCAAGCAGGTGGGTGAGCACAGGGGGATATACAGGGGGAGGTTGCAGGGGTCCCATTGACCATGCCCACCATGCGCAGGTGCTGGAGGGGCCGCTGCGGGACCGGTACCGCACGGCACAGGAGTTGGTGCAACACCGTGCCGAGGGCGCGCGGCAGGCAGGCAGCCGGGCACAGCGCCTGCGGGACGAAGCCGCGGGGCTGCTGCAGGACGCGCAGGGCAAGCTGCAGCGGCTGCGAGGTGAGGCTGTGGGCTGCGGGTGGTGGTGGTGGCGGAGGTCTGGGCTCACTGTGTGTCCCCATTTCATCCCTGCAGCGCTGGAGGAGGAGTATGAGCGCAACGAGCGTGTGCTGGACGCCAAGGCGGCCCAGCTGGGTGGGCTGGAGGCCAGGATGAGGGACGTGCTGGCCACCATCAACCAGCAGGTCCAGATCTACAACACGTGCCAGTGAGGACACCCCCGAGCCCACATAGCCCCTGCCTGCGGTGGGCACGGTGGAGCTGCAGGGCACCTCCTGTGTGAATAAAGTTACAGAGCAAGAGTGCTGTGTCTGCCTGTACCATTGGTGCCTGGCCCCATAGCGGGTGTAGGCCACGGCGGGGACGGGGCGGTCGGTGGGAACAGGCTGCAGGCCCGGCCCGTTGCTATGGGAACGCAGCCCGGTCGCGCCCTTGGAGGCGGGTTGCCTCTCCGGCGCCGTGGTGACGTCACGGCTGGCGTCGTTGCCATGGTGCCGCCGAGCGGCCGGCTTCGGCTCGTGGTCACGTGGCCACCCTCGCCTTTCCTTCCCTCCGCCCAATCGCGTTTCCGTATCACATGGTCTCGTCCGCCGGCTTCCGGAAGTGCGTCACAGGGCTCGGGCCTGTCGCCGTTATCGGCCCGCTCGGGAGATCGGCTCCACCGAACACCAAGTGGAGCAGCGGGGCCGGCAGTGAGTGTGTGCGGGACCGGCTGTGTGTGTGTGCGGGACCGGCTGTGTGTGTGCGCGATACCGGCTGTGTGCGTGCGCGGGACCGGCTGTGTGTGTGTGTGTGTGTGTGTGTGTGTGTGCGCGCGCGCGGCGGCCGGCAGCGAGTGCGGGGCCGGGAATGCAGGGCGGGACCGGCGGGCAGGGCACCGGTGGCGGTGTGAGGCCGGGATGCGGCCCGTTGGCTGGGTGCGGGACACACGTCGGGCCGGGCCGCGGGTGGAGCCGGGGCCGGGATCTGATGCTCCGCTGCGGGGCCCTCGCACGGTTCTCGCCGCCCTTCCCTCTCTGGATGCCGGGCGGTGACTTGTCGGGTTCATCACCCCCAGAGTCTTGTGATGGGCTGGGGAACGCGGAGCTGGAAGCACGGTGCGGTGCACGCGGTGGTTTCCATACGCTGTGTGGGGTCTGTGCTTGTTCTGGCCCAGCCTGTGTGTCGGGCGTGCTGGGAAGCTGAAGGAAGAGATGAGCTGGAGTCTTGAGGTTTCTGATCTGTCAGGGAGATAAGGAGCAGAAGGTGATGGAAGTACCTGTGTGCATGGGAAGTGTTTCTGTCAGCTGTATTTGGGACATGGAGGAGTATGGAAGGATGAGCTGGGAGACGGGCAACCTGCTTCACAGCCACCCTATTTGGGTGCTTTTGGGTGCTGAGAGCAGAACCAGGGGACCTCTTCCTGCTAAATGTGCCTCAGACACAGGGGGTGAATTACATCTTGTGCACCCTCTGATGTTGTTCCCTAAGCATTTACGTTAGCCCTGTCTGGCGCTGCCATAGGAAGGCACAGCCTTTCTCCCCAGTCCCCATTCTCCCCGTTCTCCCATTCCTGAGTTTTCCCTTTCCTGTGGCCAGTGGAAGTGTTTGTGCAGCCCCAGCATGAGCTGTACTGGGAGCTGCTCTGTGGCAAGACAACATTTCCCTCTGGCTGCTATCTTGATTTGGTACATGCTGCAGCCACATGGGTGCTTGCAGCAGCACAAGGCTGGACAGCAGAGGCTCAGCAGCAAGACCAGGCTTTTGCAGCTCAGAGGATTGAGTAAGGTCCTGTACCAGTGCCCTGCAGGTTCCCCTGGCATCCACCCAGAGTGGCCTTTCGCCATCACTCCCCTGCAGCAGCTCCTACAGTGCTAAACCCTCTGCTCTGCATGTCCCGGGGATGAATGTCCTGCCTGGCTGCATGCTTCCTGGTGGCAAAGAGGCAGAAAGGCTCAGGCCTATGGCAGGGGGTTGGACCTGGGTGATCGTAAGGTCTTTCCCAACCCAGACCATTGTATGATTAGAATAGGTGAATGGGAATAACTTCTATTAATGGGAATAGCTGCTTTGCCTGCACTCCTCCAAAACCCTGTGTTGCCCACGGTGGCCTTGGACTGCAGTCAGTCTGACAGCTGGAATTTGGCAGAGCTCTAGGTTCTTGGGGCTTTTGGGAATCACTGTCACCAGAGCACCTGAGGGAGCTGAGCCCTCAGTGGGGTGCAAGAGCAGCAGGATTCTCACGGAGGAGGGGCAGTAGCACACAGCCATGTGGTTCTCCTCACACCTTCCTGTGCAGAGGATGGTCCTTGTTCAGCTTGCTGCCACCCTGCCCAGCAGTTACCCTATGCCACCCCTCCAGAGGCACAGGAAGGAGGCAATGGAGCCTCACTGGCCCTGCATGAAGCAGTTGCTGCTTCTTGTCTCCTGCTCCTCCTGGGGCTCTCACCACAGGGGCAAAAGAAATTCAACAAAATACAGTTTCCCAAGCCCAGGTTCACTTTCTGGGTGCTGGGAACTGTCTGCAGCTGATCTGTTCTGGTGTCACTGGGGATGCGTGTGTCAGACCCAGCCTTCCCCTCACTGGGAAGCACAGTGAGGGGCCCTTCCCATTCCCTCTGCAGCCAGGGGTGCTGCTGTGTCCTGGTGAGACCCAGTGTGTGCAGCAGTTTGGGGGTGGCACTGCTGTCCAGGGCTAATGCCAGGCTCTTCCTCATTTCCAGGTTGTTTTGGCCTCTCCACGCAGCAGTGGGAGGTGTCTGTGCCAGGCAGCTGGGCTGGAATTAGTGTTGAGTTTTTTGTTGGCGTCGGTGGCTCTTGGTTACGAGGGAGGGTTGGGTGAAGTGGTTTGGGCACGGTGCCTGGCGTGGGGCTGGCTGTGCCAGGGCTGAGGGCAGGGCAGGACCTGGCTCTCTCAGGTCCCTTCTGTTTGTGGCTACAACTCCATGTTTGTGGCTACTTGCTGTCCCGAGGATCTATAGAACTCAAGCACTCTGGGGATGTGGGGCTTGTGCTCCCTCTAACCAAGTGCTTCCCTTGGAGGTGCTTCCTTCCCCTGTCTGTACCTGAGCAGAGCGGTGGGGTCTGTCGTAGGTCTAGGGGCAAGGGCAGAACAGGGTATTCCTGAGGGCAGGGAGGGAGAGGCAGGCTCAGTGGAGCTGGGCTGGAACAAGGTGCTGTTTGGCTCAGCTCTGTGTCCTCAGACAGGAGCAGGGATGCAGAATGAGGTGTGAATCAGTGCCCCGGGAGCTGCTGCAGGGTGGGCAGGATCCATGTGGACTGACAACCCCCTGCAGACAGTGTGTGCTACCAGGGCCAGCAAGAGAGGAAGAAGCCTTCCCAGCTCTTTGCTTCCACTGCCTCCACCTTGAGTGGGACTGCTGTCAGCGGGTTGTTCCATCTCTCCTCTGTCAAAGCCATGTACACCCAAGAGAGAAGCCAGAGAGCAGGACACTGAGTGGGCCTTTGAGCCCGCAGCTCCACACCCCCCAGGGGAGCTGCCTGCAAGGGCATGTCCAAGGGAGCAGGGTGAGCACTCTGCGGTCTCCCTGGGGCAGCAGAAGCAGAGGTGTCCTGTTTCCAGGCCAGGCCCTGCTGCTGCTGTCTGTAACCCAGCGGGGAGATGAATATGCAAGGCGCAGCGCTCCTGGTTGAGCTCTGAGCTGGTGGGTGGAGAGGAGGAACTCTGCTCCTGCCAGGGAGCTCCGCTCTCATCTGTCACGGGAGCCTGGCCGGAGCTGCTCCTGCTTCTCCCCTTTCTTCCTTCTTAGGGCGTTACTCGCTCCTGCTCCCGCCCTCTTCCATGGGGCGCTGCTTGACTGAAATAGCCGCGGCCGCAGCCGTGGGGCAGCCTGACCCCACGGGCTGCATTTCACACCCTGGGGCTGCCCCATGTCCTCACCTCTGCCTCCAGGTGTCATTACTGCACCGGCGGCTCCTTTGGGCCAGGGTTTGCTGTAATGGGAGCCAAAAGCATGACAATAAAAAAAAAAAAACACCTTTCCAGGTTTTTAATGTGTGGCACACGTGGAAGACCCCCGGTTGTATGTTGGGAGCTCTGACAGGCCCATGTTTTTGGCAGTAAGTGTGGTAACAGCTGTGATGAGGTAGGTTTCCTCACCCAGCGCTGCCTGGGGCTTCCCATCAGTGCCACAGCAAAGGTCGTGTGAGGGCACTGGCCTGGGACAGAGCGTGGATCTTGATGCTGTTGGGTCTTCTCCATCTACTCCTCCTGCCATGCTCGCTCTCTCCTGTCTTTAGGCCACCAGTTCCTTGCCAGAGGGTTTGACCACAGAGGGTCGCCAAGATAGCTGGGCCAGGAAGAAAACGTCGCAACCCTGACCCAGACTCCATCACCGACCCCGGCGGGCCATTTGTGCCCTCCAAACGGCTGAAGATGTCCAGCAGTACCAATGCCCCCGGCCAGAGGACGGTAACTCGGGGCTTGGATGATGCCGCCAACAAGAAGAAGCAGAAGGATCGAGCCAACCAGGAGAGCAAGGAAGGTGAGAGCCCCGCAGCAGTGCCGTGGGGAGCAGGCCCATGGTTTCTCAGCCCCGCAGCCATCTGCTGCTGGATAAGCAGATTTAACTAAGCACTTCCTGCAGCTTATGGTAACCCTAGTGATGTGGGATCCTCTTCTGCACACTGTCCTCTCTGGACCTGTAACCTCCTTCCTTCGAGCACTACTTAGCGCCAACTGTGTGAGGAAGGTCGGGCCTGTGGCTTTGTTAGCTTAAGCCTGAAGTTTGCCTTAGTGGTTGTTTTTAGACTCTGCTTTTGGCTGGGTTGAGCTGCCCTGATCCAGAGTTGAGTGGGGCTGAAGCCTTCGGGTGCTGCTGGAGCTGGAAGTGCAGGATCCCATGCTATTGCTGAGGCCAGATGCAGGGCCTCTGGGTGGGGCTGGTGCGTTAACTTCTGTGTCAGCCAAGGTGTGGCTCCAGTGGAATTGTTGCTGGGGAGTCATTCCCTCTGTGTATGTGATACCAAAAGTGACGCTTCAGGTGTAGTGAATGCCTGCGGGCAGGATGCAGGCCCTGGAAAATGGCTGGATTTCTGTGCCTGCTCCGTTAGGATTGTTGTAACCTCAAAATCACAGGGTGTTTTATAGGCCAAGGTAAATGAGGGCTGTGCTGGAACGGTGGCAGTCCCTGATGTGAAATCCCAGGATACAGAATAGTACCTTCTCTTGCATGGGAGGTGGCTGTATCTCTCTACATCCCCTCTGTGCAGGGCCAGCAAGCTGTAGATCCTCTGAGCAGTGCTGCTGCAGCACTCCTCATACCACCAGCACCTTTGCATTAGTGACTGTGGTGGTCAGCAG